TATATATATATATATATATATATATATATATATATATATATATATATTCTTTCACCAATTAGGCTAAACAAATTATAAGTTTATAGAAAATCTGTCATATACAGTACCATGGTCCTGGGTCTATTTCTCTTTTAAAGCAAGCCTGGATTCTTAGTAATAGAGTTTCTTCCGTGAGCCCTTTAACCCAAAAATTTGCTAATTTGATGATCACTTGAAGCTTTTGGAAGGAGTAGCTCCAGCCCGATCTGACACACTGTGTCCGGTCCTCGCTACCCTTGGGCTTTCAGAAATTCTATCTGGCCTTTCCATGGGTGTTCTTGAAGCCGGAGAGCTAGGTTCTCGTCTCACGGAGTCGAAGAATGAATCTCTCAGACAAAGGGGAGTGAGTAAAGCGACAGAGTTCTATTAAGCAAGGATACAGAAAAAGCTCTCAGGAGTGAGAGGGGCCCCGCCAGGGTGGTCAACGTGGGCCTCCACTGACGGTCTTTTATTTAAAACTGACCAGGGAGCTTGTGGCCTTATCATTCTTGTGACGAGTGGTTTGCATAAGGACTTAGTGATAACATCTTTAATGGCTTACTTCTTGTTTGGGGTCTGGTTATTCTTTGTTGGTCACAGGTGACTGTCATAAAAAAAGAGCCCCCACCCCCACCCCGGACACCCAGGGCAGGGTGGTCTGGTGTGTTCCCTTATCTCTGGTTTCCTTACACCTCCGCATTTTGGGGATTTCTGTGAGCCTGATCCCGTAGCCCCCCCTCGTATCTCTCCCTACCTAGCCCCGCCTGTCCCTCACTCATTCTTCTCTTCTTGGAGCACAGCCGTCTCTCCTTCGTACGCAGTGTTACTTGCGCAATATGGCGGCCGGCAGAGACCCGGATTCCCACGCCCACCAAGCAAAAAAAAAAAAAAGACCAGAGAAGCCAAACGGATGATTTCTGCTCTGTGCCCCCTCCCTCTCACCACCTGCTTTTGCTTTTTGTCACAATAGAAGCGTTGCCACATTTGAAGGATTCCTTGGAGGAAGCTTTCTTTACATGCTAGAGGGGGGAAGAAGATCAATGGGTGGGAGAGCAGAGAAAGACAAATTTCAGCTCACATTGAGGGAAAACCTTCAAGCCATCCAGCCTGCCCAGGAGAGGTCTGGGCCACCCTTCATGGGTGACACTCTGTCCTAAAGGGGATTTCTTCATCAAGCAGGAGGTGAACATCCTAGGTCCTTCGAACTCGGGATTCTCATGACTGGGCTGGCTCAATACTGGCTTGGCCCCTTTGACATCTCTCTGGTGTCCTGTGACCCCCAAATAAAACCTTACAGTTGTTTAAAAAGGACAGGGATCTTCCCATGAGAATGGCCATCCTGCCAATGGCAGAACTGAGTCAGAGCAAAAGGGTTAGTGCCGCGTCTTTAGGGGGGAAAAGTACCCAAACTAAGGGTCTTTTTTCTCTTCCAACAAATAGTTGAGCTGTTCTTGGAATCCATTCATCTCTGGAAAGGTTATAAATTACTAGGTCAGGCGTTTTAATGACTTCTCTGTCTTCAAAATCCAGTTTTTGCTAATTTCCTGGTTTCTTATGTCAACATCTAAATGCCTTTGTCCTTCACACAACACGTCTGAGAAGGTCCCTCAGTGTTTCCAGTGGTAAAGTTCCTGGAGAGGGTTGGAGGAGAGCTCACCTTCTGACAACTCTCTCCACAGAGATGCCTCTTTCTCCCTTCCTTGGCACCCCCTTATCTCATCCTTTCTTTGTCATGACCTGCCACCTCCTTCTCAGCCCCCCTCCATGTTCCCTTAACAGGCCACTTGCAGAATTGAAAGTTACATTTTAATGCCGTTTTCTTTTTTCTGTGTCCTGGATTGCCTCATTGCCTGCTCCGGATTTTAGAATTAGATGAATTGAAGGTGTTACCTGTTTTTTCACAAAAGTCGACTAAGCTCCAAACAGAAAGAGTTGGCTGTTCTACTTTCACTTATTGGAAAAGGAAAGTGTGCCTCTTGCAGCCCAGGCAGAAGTCATTCAGTGCGCTCCAGCCTCCCACCCTCACTGGGACTCGCATTTTCCCCCAGAGGAAAGGAATAGCCTAAGACACAGTAAGGAAAGCTTGTAACCCTGGCCGCCAGATGGAGCCGGGAGTCCTCTGAGTACATTAACGGTGCATCTGCAGCAGAGAGAAATCCAGATAATACTAGTACCTTCTTAAACTTTCTTGGTTCTCTCTCGTGTTTAATACAGCCATTTTAGAATTTGAGTATTGATTTCCTAATGTAGAAGGCATAAATATAAGTGGCAAAAAGAAACATGGCTTTCCTTAAAACAGGCTGAAAAATCAAACCTGGAAGAATCTATCTCAGCCTGGCAGCTGGAGGCCAACATCTGATACTTGCCATATAAAACGTCTTTACTGTGGCTCTGATGGGAAGTTGGACCCCTTACTGATGAAACTGGCGGATGACGTGAAAGTGGTGACAGTGACGGGTTCAGGATCCAAAGAGATCAGGGAGACTAGACCAAAACCTGGATCTTAGGAATTCATCAGGAAGCAACATGCATCTACCTTTGGAATTAAAACAAAAACAAAAACGAAATTATACAAATATGGGGTGGAGGAGATGTAAGAGTTTCAGTTGACTAAGCTCAATGTGAGTCAAGGAAGTGGGATGGAAGCACTCCCTCCAAACCGCACACGAACACACACATATGCACACGCGCACACACACACACACACACACACACACACACACACAAAATAAGGGACTTAGACTACCTAAGGAGAAAACATTGGGGAGAGTCCTGCCACACTGTGGTTGTGATTGCCAGAACCACACTTGAAGAGTATCAGTGGTGTGTAGCATTGAGGTGAGCATGCCCAACCCTGAGGAGGGGAGGAGACAGTTAGAAATGGTGGAAAGGACTTCATGAGAACGTTTAGCCTGGAGACGAAGAGGTGGGGGGCAGCACTCTGAGATGGCCTAGCACTATGAGAGTGACCCTAAGGCCAGGAGGTAAAAGCTACAGGGAGACAGACTTTAGCTCCTG